CCTCTGTAGATAAAAACAGTTCATTCTAAGGTAACAATTAACACAATTCTTATTTTCAGGTGATTATACACTAATGAAAACATAAATATGAATATTTTATTCAATTTCAGCCAATAGATCCTCCTAAATGTTACACACTGGACTTTTAAGGTTTAGGGTTTGGGTCAGGATTTGTAGGCATATGAACAGTTTGGGTTGACACAGAGACAGGGCCGCCCATAGGGGGAGAAAAAGGGGAAAGATTTCTGGAGCAAAGCCGTTAGGGGGACAATAAACATGTTACATAGGAAAGAGAGACCACCTGGATGCATTGATATGAGTAAAGCAGATTTGGGGAGGGCCCACTCAATGGGCCTCTTCTGTGGGATAAATCAAATGATACAAATGAAAGCATTACAATACAGCACTGCAACAGCATCAACCCTGTGGTGATGCTATATCCTCATCCTTGTCTTAATTTCATGAGCAAATAGATTTGTATCTTCAGCTATGAAACTATTATTCTCAATGACATATTTTATGTAATTTGGTAGATTCAAATAAATGTCCATACAAGCAATGATACAGTCTATTTAAAACAACATTCCCCCCCCCCACTCTGTACATCTGTTTAAAGAGAACAACAAAGTCTATGAGTGTATGCAAAAGCCACATGTTAAAATAATCACAGATATTTGGACTCTATGATTAGGAAAAAACAAAAAATGAGAAAATGTCACAGATTTCTGATTCACTTCAGTCCCCACATACTCCATCCATGCCCAAAAGGCACCCTAAGTTTGGTATACTGGCAACTGTGTATTGCCATGTCAACTTTACATTAGAAAATTCTCATAAGCGTCTTGATAAAACATACAATAAAAACTACTTTAAATACTTTGAATATGATTGACATGTACAGTATATCAGACAATTTCTATATTTAATAAATAATATCATACATCAGCATTTAGTGCATGTCGATGGTCATCTTTTATTAGATTTAAAAGCTTAATTAGAAAATACTTAAAATTCGACAAAAATATCACTGAGAAGATATAAATATTGATTTCGTAATTCAAACAGGCATTTACTGTAATTATCAATAATGAGCAAGAAAATGTCAATAAATAGAATCAATCTCAAAATAATTGCAACATGATTAAACTGAATTGTAATAGTGAGGAAATATAAAACAAACATAAAAAATCAGTAACAATTCTAGTAATTTCACCTATCTTATCTTTACAAAGCTATCAGAGAAGAGCATCTTCCTCCACCCAGACTTTTTCCATTAGAATAAAAAAAATGAGATTGCAAAACACTGATCTGGCTTATGTCTTTTAATAATAATAACCCCACGTTGCCTCCTCCACTTCTTGCACATCTTTCTTATATCTCAGCTAGAATGCATATACTTGACAGCTTATTTCAAGCTTTTTTAAAAAATAAATTCAAAGCTCTTTCTCTAGGAACTTTGTATATGATCTATAATGGGCTTAGTCATCGGGCTGTCTTTTAAAGCCTCCTTTTGCAGTGGCTGGCTTTGAATGCAAAAAATAATAATAATGAAGGAGAAAAGCAACTGAATGACAGTCATGAAATAGAAGAAGGACGGATCCATTAAGTGTAGGTGGATGTAAAACCATTGCAACATAATGCCACTGCCAAAACCTGAAGAAGGAGGGCTAGACTTCAAGAGAGCAAGGATTAGTTGAGTGTAAGGATTTTTGGTGTCAGGCGCAGGCAAAGAAGGTTCACATCAGGTTCACTTAGCTTCTGAAATAGGCTCATAGCGCCCTCTTGTCCACATTTTTTTCAATTGCACTTGTTAAAGCTCTCAGGGATCAGGTCTGAACTAGAGTTTATTCTCTAGTATTATGTAAGAATTCACTGACTGTGTGTGTGTCCAGACATGTAAATGTGCATGTGAATGCCAACATGCACTTGATTTAACTTTTTCTACCTAGTTTCCTTTGTTTTCCTGTTACTGTCATGCCTCGACTGTACCCACTCGAAGTGTGGTTCACCTGCTAATCTCAGTCTTCCTGTCACATTTTCTTTCTCACCTTTTCCTGATAACTTTCAGCTTTTCACTCTCATCACATGGCTAATTAAACCCAGTTTTTACTGTTGTACTTGACAGCCAAGACTGTAGACACATGATAGAGTAATGACATTTTGACTGGAGTATGTTGAAACACTGCTTTCTTTTTCTAGCTGAACTGACAAAAAAATTAGAAACAGTTATGTAGATAAATTATGCTACAAAACGCAAAGACAAAGGCAAATTTGATAATCCTTTGAAAAAGAGATAAATATTCATTATTTGAAAGGTGTATTTGTGTATCGAGAGGTAAGTTGTTGCCATGTTACTGCAATCATTTCCAGTGCAACCAAGAGGAGAAATAGTTCCTGATGGTTTCAAACACTTCATTAATTCTTATATGAAGCAGCCTGAAACATTAGCCTCTTTCTGTTTGCTAGTGCTGGGGTCTTACAGAGTGGAGTTAGTATTATATGAAAAGAGGAAAATGTATTTAAAGTTTTAAGACAGTAATGACTCTATGCTGAAGACAAATTGACAAAATGAGGTGGCTGTTTTTCTTCTCCTCTCTTTGTCTCTCAGACCTAACAGTTTCTACCATATAATGCAGCTAGGAGTAACAGTATACTTTCTCTGACTAACGTGATTGATATGTGATGTAACACAGTGACAGATGTCTACTTGACATAAAGGTGGTGGGTGGAAGACATACAGTACAAATACACCTTCCATTGCCATAACACCCCATTGAGAGTTACTTAGCTACAAGAGGAGGTAAAAACTACTCTAGATTCATAGCTCTTTGTTTATGACTGGTGTACAGTAGGACCCCTACATCTCCCATCCTTACAGGGTAAAGTTGCCCTCCAGCACTGACTATGAATAAACTTGTACGACCTTTTCTAACCTAAAACGTAAGTGAAAAAACTGTAGATCTGGTCCAGATCAGTATCTATGGACAACTTCACCCTGCATTTACTTTTGCACTTGGCCACTTCATTCCTCCCTGGTCCTATCAGTGTGTGAGTGTGCTGACCAGTGTTCTTGTCACGTGTAGTTTTGTCTATCAAAGCTGCGGAAAGCTGATGGTGTGGCCAGCTTTCTCATGGAGAGGCTGTCAGTCTTGGCTGTTTCAGGCCGTGCTCCAGACTTGCTCCTGAGGAAGGGGTTTCTGGTTCCTGCCAGACCCCGGCCCCCCGGCCCAGGCCCCCTGTCTGCCCCCAGACCCGGTCCCCTCTCCATCCTCTCACTCACCGACAGGCTCTTCCGGTGCGGAGGGGCCAGCGTGAGGGAAGGATGGGAGTCGTCTGAGGAGCAGCTGTTTGCTCGCTCCAGCCTGGAGAAGGGGGAGCAGAGAGGGGCCCCACTGGGCCCACTAAGGCCCCCTAGACGAGGGGTATCAGGGGCTGGAATCAGGTCCTCAGGGTCCTCTGGATCAGACTCCGTGTGACTAAGCTCTGCCTCTCTCTCTGGGTGAGAGGAACCAATGTCTGACGGCTTATCAAAGGGGAATGAGGTGGATCCTCCAGGGGAGTGTGAGCGTTCTGCAGGAGTGTATGGGGCTGAGACACAGCGTGTATCGATGCAGTCAGTGATGCTGGTGTACTCTGCAGCTTTTACCTGGACTCCTGCCCCCAGTCCGCTATAGCAGCCTCGTGGTGTGAACATCAGGCTGTGGGACTTGACCAGAGTGGGCTCATCCAGGAATGCTGTGCCTGTTGTAGAGAGGTAGCGGCTACTCTTAGAGCGCTCAAGCAGCCCTGCTGAGGGAGGTGGGGATGGTTCCATGTCCCACGGAGGTAAAGTGGTGTCTGGTAAGAGGTGGGCCGAGCACAATGACAAATCAGCAGCTGCACTGTCGTCAAACATGGCTCCAGCTGTTCCGCTGCTGCCTGCACCACCCTCCGAGTGCCTGTCGCCCATACCGCTGGTGGCAATGCTGCTGAAGTCCCGGCCTCCCGGCAGCACCGTCTCTATGATATCTGATTGTAGCGAGGAGTCTCTCTGGAGCTGTGGGACCACACGGAGAGGATCCAGAAAGACTTCCGAAGGCCCCACCTCCTCAGAAGTTGAGACATAGATATCAATGCATGACGATGGACGGTGCTGCTGGGAGACCGACAGCGTTGCCAGGGGGAGGGGCTTAGACTCCTTGGGGGCGGCACTTGAGGATACTGATTGGGAGCTGTTGGCTCGGTGGAGACTGAGTGAGCGTTCTTTGAAGAAGCTCTCAGCTCGTTCAGCTCCACTTGCACGTTCACCACCACGACCACCTCCAACATAAAATGAGTGGCTTCTTGTCCGTGTAGTCATGCTAGTAGGAGAGGGAGGAGACATGGAGCCCTCCGCTGTTCCCTCCAGAGCCTCCTGCAGGCGGTAGGCATTCCCTTCTGTGCTGTTAAAGCTGCTTTGACGGAGGATGTATGCTGCCTCTGGGCACTCACCCTGGCGCAGTATGTATGCTGAGTCTGTGCAGTCAGATGAAGTCCGGGAACGTACTTTGTTGACCTCCCCACGCTCAACACCTGTTACACGCTCCAGTGCTACAGCAATTCGTCCAATCAGCTCCTCCATTTGGGCCAAACGAATGTCAACCGTCTGCAGTGAGGCCTTCATGAAGTGTTCCCTTTCATTGACTTCCTCCAGACGCATTGCCATATTCTCCACCCTGATAGAGAAGGAAGGAAAGAAAAGACTCAATAGGGAAAAATGGTGGAGAAAGAGAGCGAGAGACCATCACACTGACAAAAGAAACCGAGAAAACACAAAAATCACAACATATAGTATTCTACATTTAGAAGTTGACTGCAAATACGGACGCAAATAACTGAATGCACTTTGGTACGTACATTGAAAGCTTGTGGTTTAGACTGCTGATAAATGTGAGCTTGGTTTTGACCTGTGTGCTGCCCATATAAGCAGTTATAGTCCAATTACTTGTGGTTAAATAAAAATAAAAGACAGCAGTCATTGATGTTCCTTAAAATCTTTCAGCTCATATGAGAAAATAAGAAAAATTATATGCTTGAAATGAGCACTATAACGGTTCTGTCACTTCCTCTATCTAACTGGTAGACAGAGCACTGCACTTATTTATATACCACTTTTCTACAGGCTGAAAGATTGAGGTAGAATGCACATACAAGTTTTCTGTGTGGACATGTCTGACCTTTCAGAAGTGACTCTGATCCTCTCATCATTAGAGGAGTGGAATCGATCATCTTTCTCCCTGAAGTATTCTTCTATGCATTGCTCCTCGAAGTCGTGGACTTTCTTCAGCTCATCCTCTGTGATGAAAAGTTCTGTGGATGAAAGAATTAATGTTACAGTGTTATATTTAACCGTTTGGTTAATAGTATAATAGTAGCAAAATATATAAGACTGTTACAGCACTAAAACAAAATATTAATTTACAGTGAATTTAAATTACAACTGCTGTTCACACTGCAACTCACTCAGTCCATAGTCTCTCTCGTCATCGTCATGCTTGCGCCAGCGACAACACAGATGTTTGAGGACCATAGTTATGTGACTGAAGATGATGAGGGGTGGAGGAAGGACAGGGCGCTCATGGAAGGTCATAATTAGCTGGTAGCGCTGGAACTTCCAAACCTGGTTGGAGATGGACTTCACTTCGAAGAATGTATTACTATGATGACAGACAGAGACAGACAGAAGTGCCACACGAACCAAGAAATATTACATCCACTGAAACTGAAACTAAACTGAATCAAGTCATCAGTGAGTCATCACTGATAGTATACAGATTGATGAACTGTTCCTTCACTTAACATGCTGCTGCACTGCAGAGAGTATATGGAGATTAAAATAAATGCAGCAGCCAACACTATAAATGGTTGCTGTAATGTGATTAAACATTTAATTTAACTGTTGTTGTTTTTTTGTGCACTTTTTGGTAATTATCCTGACAAATGTGAGGAAGAGGATGATCGTCTTTGCTACATGGATTATTCAGAGGTACAATAACAAGATCATTACAATGATAATGTCTCTGTGGAAGAAGCACAGTCCCATTCTGTAATACAATTAGCTAGCAGCCTCTAATATGTGCAGCTTACCAGTCGCCCAAACCGAAACTACGGTAATTTATCTTTTTCTCTCACACATGAACCTCAAGAAAAGTCCACAGGCAGTTATATCTATTTTCTCTGCAAAGGTTTGGTGATAGTTTTGGAGATGGGGGGGAATAATTTCTATCCTCATACTGCCTAAATACGTGGCCTGAGATGTCTGTAAAGCAGTGCACAGCAGAGCTAAAATCATTTGAGTTTACGTACTTGAACACAGCTATGAGTAGGTTGACCAGCAGTATGTTAGCCACCAGCAGATAGCAGGCCATGATGGCTGGGACAATCCAGGCCCCGGTCTTACATGGAGGCAGGGCCACCACCGCCCCATCCTCTGTAGTGATGTTCTGCCCACAGGGGGCTGCACACCGCCACATAACAAACAAACACATACAAGTTAATACAAAGTTAACTATGTTTGTAGATAGAGACTTGAATCCATTATGAATAACACTGTAGTAGAAATTTGTAGATGCACAACAAATTTGAAAGACATGCAGACGCATAACATAAACAGAAGATGCAATATATAGTAAAAAAAAATGTTTTTTAATTTAAGCAACTTAAAATAAAAAAAACATAAAACATTCAAGCACATACTGTACACAGAGTTACAAGACAACAACAAACAAAGAGACAAGCAGACCTGAAAATACCAAACAAAATGCATAACTATATAGTTTGCAAACAAACAAGAAGCATAATTTATCTTTATGCTTCTTAAAGAGGGGACTGGAAAGAGTGGACATTATAATGGTAGGGGCTCATGTTCAGAAATGTGCATCTTAAAACAAAATACACAAAAAAATGCATTCATCATGTCTCGTCACAATTCGTGTTCCCAATATATTTAAACATGTAGTTGATGTTTGAAATATATTGTCACATATGTGTGCCATAGCTTCATTCAGCAATGGTTGATTGCTTTGAATCATTTGAAATGTATTTAGGATACATAGTATGTTTTTTCCATCTGTGATGGTTCAGTTGCTGTGACTTATCTGGGGAACATTCAGCATTTGTTCTTGGTTTGTTTGCCTTTGAGATTCATTCTAGTCATGCTCATCGTTGCTAGATGTTCAATTGTTTCACACAATGCAGCCCAAAGACAGAGAACTGAAGTAATTTTTCTATTTTGTTTTTATTTTTACCTTCAAAAAATTTGGATCAAAAACTCTGACAACTGAACCACGTGAAAAAACAGATTGAAGATGATGAAAGGTGGCTGACTCATACAGTATATTCTGGTGTGGATGTGTGTATGTTTGTATTTTCTTCCTGTATGGTGTGGTATACATATGTAATTCAATGCTTACTTATGTTAAATGTTGGCTGTATTGGTAGAAATATTATGTTGCAATTGCTCCAGTGAGAAGCTGAGCCGGCGTAAAGGGAGGGTGATATGGTTTAGGTGACAGACGGTGTTGACATGGCAGGGTCACTTCTTCAAATGAAACTAATTGAAAGTCAAGGAACAAAATATGTGGAAGAAACATCAAGGGAATATCAAACTTTTTAAACTTTGATAGTTCCTCTTGATGTGACAACTGTCCAAAAAATCAAAGACCATAATAAACACATTTGAAAAGTGCTACTGCCATGTAACAGTGCCATTTGCCAGCAAGTGCCAAAATTAGTAAGGGTAAAGTTGCTTTCAAGCTATAACCTTGGGTCAAGCTACTTGTTTGTCAGTCAAAGATGTGGAGAAAATAGGCAGTCTCACTGAATCAAGCCATCATACTCCTTAAACTCTGTTAAACAAGTATTTAAAGAAAATGCTGTTTAGATACAGTAGCTGACCCAAGATACCAAAAACACATGATGGCAACTTTAACCTTAAAGCGTTTGGAGCCGCATGCACACTTTTGTCTCAAGTGGCCTCTAGTGGTAGGAGTGGGCATGACATGGTGGTAATGTGAGGATGATGAAGGAGAGGTGAGATAGGTGGATGTGGTTAAATTGAAGTCTATATCTATTGATTTACTGGGAGTTTGACTGCACTGGGAAATGTGGAATGGACCGTTACTACGCCAGCTTCCGTGAGTTCGAAAGTAATTTTCGACCAGCCAGAGTTTTTCATTCAGCCTGTGCTGTAACTTCCTACTATGCATATCTGAAACAAAGAATGAAAACATTATTTCAGATCTCTTCTCTTTGGGCCACTCCTCACATTCTGTACACACCATCATATACACTACCATACAGAAAGACAACAGAACAGCACACGAATGCACTCTCGCTCTCAAGACATTTTCCCAGACACTGCTCACAGTCTATGTTGATTTATTGATTGATTATCAAATGTCTACATGGTATAAAATAATGTAGAGACAGAAAAGATCAAGACAAACTGACAAATGTATGTCCTGATGTAAGAAGTCGAGTAACTTGACAGCAAGATTATGCAGATATGGTGATACAAAATGTCCTTATACTCAATATGATGTAATTTGTATTGTAGTAGAGTGTTTTAATATGCATGTTTTATAAAAAGACGTCTTCCAGTAATATATTAACCTGTGGAGGAATGAAAATTAAATGTAATTCTGCACTGAGATAGGTGCGTATTTGGTCACATTACTTGCATCTGTCTTCAGAGTCAGGAACTATTCTCCCCTGAAGTAACAAAAATTAAGTTTATTCAAAAGCTCTGACACTGGCCCTGAACTTACGGTCAATCTGGTCAGCAAACACCTCTCCGTAGATCATCCAGTAAGGCATGAAGAAGATGTTCCTAGCTAGCATCCAGGACGGGTCTTCATTAGGGTGGAGGATGGCTTGACGTGCCACCCCAAAACTCATCAGCACCACCAACATGATGATCACAAAATACATCATGTCGATCATCTGACAGAGGGAAGGGGGGAGGGGAGTAGAGGAGGATTGTCAAAGAGAGAAGGGAAGGGGTGAGTGGTTTGAGAAGAGAAAAAAATGGGGAGCAGTTGGTAAGAATGTTTGTACGATGATAAAACGAGAAGTAATGAATTAACTAAAGAAAGCAGTAATGAGGCAAAACAAGAGAACAGGAGGGGAGTGTGTTGGTCTGTTACAGCTGGAGAAGCAGCTTAAAAGTTTGATGAATGCACTTTTTGATTATTATAACTCTCAAAGCCTTGGTTGATCAATCAAACTTCAATTTAATTAGCTCTGGAATGAAACCTAAACTCAATATTTAAAATGCACTTAATTTAGGTTAATCCCAGAGAACGGACAAACCAAACACTGGCTGTAGATAGGGCATTTCACTTTTTTAGAAGTTTTGCAGACACCATAATTTCTACTACACACGCCTGTTCTCATTCCCAGGTCATCAAATAAAGACGCGAGCAGTATTCAGTTAGTTACTCCTAGATACCACTAAATCCTACACATTGGATCTTTAAAAGCCAAATGAAAGCTATATTGTAATTATTATTACTTAAAATCAAGAGGTGCATACCAATTTGACTGAAAATCACTATAATAATAGTTTTTTCTCTCTAATTACTGATTTTAATATCAAAGAGAGTTTGCATCAAGTGATCCATAGCCCATGTCAAAGACAGGCACACATCAGACAGATACAGATTTAGGCGTTTGATCCCTTTTTTAGTTTTGTCTTCATGTATGTATCAGAGGCTCTGATCTTGTGCTCGTTGAGATCAAACAATAAGGTTTAGAGGCACAGAAGCTCTATTAGGACCAAACCTGCACACCACATACAAATGAAACCTTTGTAATCATAGGACTCTGTGAACTCTGATAATCGGTATGGATCATGCTAAGTAAGGTCAGAAGGCTGAAAAAGTCCAACATCAATAAAGAATACATAATGGGGAGAGAATGAGAAATACTGTACATAAAAAAGAAAATTCACACACTCACACACATACATGCACGCACACACATCATCATCATCATCATCATCATCATCAACAACCATGCCTCTTCTCACCATCTTGCCAATCATCATCACATAGGGACCCAGGTACTTGTTGACCCCAAAGATGTCCAGCAGCCGAATGTACCAATAGATGATGTTGACGCAATAGATGACCCGCCCGTAGCTCATGAGCGGTGGCTCCTGGAGACGCAGAACCATGCCAACGGAGAATATAAGGATGGCCATGAGGTCTGTGATGTTCCAGTACTCCTGAAGCCACACCTTCACCTTCTGTAACAACTTCCCCGGCTCTGACATCAGGATCTGGAAGAGGGAAATTAGTTGAGAAAAGGAAAGGAAGCTGAGAATGCTCAAATGCAGGACTGATCGAAAGATTTGTCAATAAATGCAGAAACTGAAGGGGAAAGTGAGCCTGAAAATTGATTAAGATAGAAGAGCAGAAAAATAGAAATGCATTATAACATGACCACCATAAGAGGGCAGTATGAGTTCACCAATCAGGGCATCTAGCAGATGTCTGAGGAGGCATTGTTGTGCAGCTGAGAATGATGTGACATAATGATTAATGCATTTCATACACTTACAGTACAAACACAGCCACAGAGTGAGGCTGAACTAGATCTCATATGGCCACATATCGCATTTTCTATTTAGTCTTTTTGTTTTCTTAATTTTCCCATCCGTCTCATATCTTCATTTCCCCTTGCTTTCTCTTTCCCCATGACTCTTTCCTTTGCTTACCCTCCAATGATCACAGTTTTTCCTATTTATTATGAGCTGTTTGGTGATATAGACATAATGTTTACCCTCTGCCCTTTACCACAGAACTCATTGAATTAAACTATAGCCAACATTAGGGTTGATGAGCTTTGTGTATTCGGTTCACTGGGTAGTGGTGAATAATTGATTATTGTGTCTTCACTATAGTTGTGCATGGTGCACATTTGCATGTAGCCACAGCTTAGGATCTGTGGTACCTCTCTCATCTTCTCAATGCCGTTGGTGAAGATGTAAGCAATGACGATCCACTCTTGAGGAGAGGGCCACAGGTCCATCTTGACCAAGACAATGTAGTTGAACAACATCAGGTAGCCCACGTACGCCATCTATGTAAAAACACAACAGCAGAGGGAAATCAGCAGGGACACATGTATGGCTATGTGCTTGTGTGATTTTCCAATATTAGCAAACTGCACATCAATAAAGTTCAATTATCTTTATGCAACTGGCTCAAAGGGCTACTGTGAAAATGTTTTTTGTGTGAAACTGCTCAAATTAAATAGTTATTCAGGGAATGATTGACCCTCATTACACCTCCCTTTCAAGCAGATTTTCAGATCTGATAATAGAGATTTAATGTCAAGACACTTGATTGCTGCACCTCCACAATTGGCCTGAAAATGTCCATTATGTGTCTCCCATGGCTCTACAGTATCTATTTAAATAGATGTCAGCTGTCCAGTTCAGTTTTTCCTGCGCTTATTTGTGCACTGTGGCTCATCACGATGCAGAAAAGATACTTTTTTTTTTTTAAAGTACTTTTTTGGGGTCTTTTTATTGCCTTTATGATAGTGACAGCTGGAGAGAGACAGGAAAGAGGGGCATAGAGAGGGGATGACACGCAGCAAAGGGCCACAGGTCGGATTCAAGCCCTGGGCCGCTGCAGCAAGGACTCAGCCTCAGTACATGGGCCACTATCACAATGCAAGTCTGACCATCTAAAGATTATGCCTGGAGGACCTGGCAGAAATGTATTCAAAATCAATTGTGTTTTTCCTATTCACAGTTCCTGACACTACTGGATTACAATCATATATTTGACATTTTTTATTCGCAATTAATGATCCAATATCCCTATACTTAGGACTTATACTGAACGAATGTAATGCAAAATCGTGAACTATTTCTACCTTTACATTTGAAACAATAACAAATAGCTTTAACATATATTCAAATTATAGATTCAATAAACTACAACACACTGGGGATGGATACTCTTGTAGTCCATGATTGAATCAGGAATTCCAGTGATGTAAGCAGGTAAAATGATTTTTAATATTGTGTGACCAAGATTGTCCTTCATGGACCAGTGTGTATGATGTATTGGCATTTAGCGGCATTTGAATACAGCTTGCCTTCCAAGTATGTAGGAGAAACTACGGTGACTGCAAAAACAAATGCTTCACCTAGAGCCCAGTGTTTGGTTTGTCTGTTCTGGGCTACTGTAAAAAATATGGGGGTTCAACATGGTGACCTCCATAAAGGCTCACCCTGTAGACAAAAAACGTCTCATTATAACATAATGAAAAGACAACACTTCTTATTTTCAGGTGATTATACACTAATGAAAACATACCTATAAATATTGTATTCCATTTCTGATAATAGATCCCCCTGAATGTTACACACTGGACCTTTCAGTCCCACATGCACAGTTCGTCTGTATTATAAGTTTGACTGATATTATTATAAACAGGGCAGCGCTCTACAGCGGATCTGGTAATGAGGTAAAGTCCACATATTGACCCTGAGAAAATCCAGCATCTGTTTTAGGAGAGCAATAATGACATTCACAGTAGAATGTTTTTCTTTAACCTGAAGGGCAAGAAGGAGCAGTGAAGAAGGAGAAGAGGGGGGTAAATCACACAAGAGAGAATAGCATGAGACAAAAGGGAGCCGAAACATTTTCTCAGCATAAATAAACAGTGAAATCCCTGCTGGTGATGTAAAGAGATGTTTTCACTGGGCAAGCAAACTGAAGGAGCCCAAGATGGCGTATGGGAAACAAAGGATCAGCTTATACCAAACATTACACACATGCTCAGAGGCAGATACTGTACAAAACACAAGCTGTACACAGACTTCAACGAGAATCTAGATGAACAGTGCCGTATAAAAACTGTAAAGACACGCATTGTACATTCTAAAACCAAACTTTAAATCAAATAATATTTACTTAATGTAATATTTCAATATGGTAATATATTAATTATAGCATAGTGCCATAACTGTGAGGTTTCAGTGTGTGTTTACACTGTGAAGACCTCCTTGTTTGTTCTTCAATCCCTTTCTCTCCCTCACTCGCCTGTAGTTTTCTCACCATGTTGCTCCCATCACTCTCCCCATCTTTTTCACACTAAACTTTCACACCCGAGTAAAGCTGGGTAATGACAGGGTGGAACAGCGGCTTAATGACAAAAGAGGCACTGTGGCAGTAGACGCTAACGGCAGGGAACAAGGAATTGATGCTATTGCAGAAATACAGTAAGCACTGACAGTGCCAGCAGGAAGCTGAGAGTATGTAGGTGGTGTTGCTGAAGCTGACACTGACCGTATGGAACCAGAACTTGACAATTGGAGCATTGTAGAACTCGTATATTTTGCGTCCCAAGGGGATGAGGCGGTGGCGGTTCTGAACCTCGTCAACATCCTTCTTTCTGGATGTCTCTGTGGTTACCTTTCCCAGCATTGCCTGGGGGAATGTACACCCCACATGGAGCGAGGGAGGAATTAAAAGGTGTGAAGGATAAAAGGATGGAGAGAGTGGGGGAAATTCAGACAGAGGATGGAGATGGAGACAGTACGTGGAAGGGAGGAGGTGGGATGGGAAGAGTTGAATAACAGAAAGAAAAAATGGGAAAAGAGGAGGAGGGGGAGAGGGTTACATTATGGCTACTGCACAGTTTAAATATCATAATAAAAGAAGCAAGCACAGGCAATGTCATCATTCCAAAATGTGAAATGTGTGTTTGACGTGGAGTGTTGGGTGAAGGCTGGTAACACAGTATGACGCAGACACAGACACTCATGGATTGTGTCTCAGACAACAATTAAGAGACAGAAGAGAGGCAAGATAATGACAGAAAGAAGACAGAAACAGAAAAAAGGAAAAAGATAAGACATAGATATCTCATTTAAATCTGTGACACATTTCCTTATCCATGAGAGATGGTACGGAGCCCACTGTTTTTATGGTGTCATGGTCTTAATGTCAAAGCAACACCAGACCTCTGAGGGAGTTAATTCATGGAATTGTATTGTATGTCAAGAAGTACAGCCTACTGCCCTACAAAGGCAAAAAACAAACTACATATTTGGGCAAAATTTAGTTATAACCTGTATCTGACTTTCTGACGTCGGTTTTATTAAATTGAACTATATTATGCCATAGTAATATGTAATTTCTGTGAAAGCTTTTTAAATTTGCAATGACTTAAAATCTGTGTGCTGTAGGACTCATTATTGCACTCCCTGCAGTCTCTGCCATAGAAAGACAGCGACCTAGACAGCTTAAGTAAGAGGGCTATATCAAGTGAAAGCTAGCTTGGAGGATAGAAGTTCAGTTATTAATTCTGTGAATGAAAATAAAAATAATAAAAATAAATAAATAAATAATATTTTTTTTTATTGAACACTTTGATTATTCAGTTTAAATCAATTTATGAAAACAGAAGGGAAAAAACAGCTAAACTCCTTCTAAAGGTAGCTACCTTAGCAGATCTCAATAGCTGACATTATTTGACTCTAGTGAATTTTATGTAAATTAGTGGTTAAGCTACCACTAAATCACATACTTCAATGTATTAAAATCGTAAATTTATGTATCATGTATCATTATGTATCACCAACTGAAACCCTCTAACTCAATACTTATTCCAATAAGCTATGGATTAAATAATCAAAATCAAATGAAAGTAAATTTTCTAGTTAAAATGGATAAAAAAGCTGAGAGAACACATTTCTCTGAGTATTCAGTTTAGTTTATACAAAGGTATTTGCGTTTGGTAGGTATTGTGTTAAGACTATAGCTATTATTTTTCTGGGTAAAATAAGAAAAAGA